AGATTCAGACCCCCCGGCCTTTAAAGGGTTAAATGTAAAATTGAAAATGAAGAAAATAAATTTTGTTATAAAACCTCGCTCTTCTGAAGCTTTTGCTGGACATGAAACAAACCCCTGTTCTATTAAATCTGTGGCCATGTCTCTCTCGGAGGGGGGGGGGGGGGGGGGGGGGGGCTAGTTTATGTTTATGTAAATAACTGTTTTATCTTCTAGGATGTTATTGAAAGTTTTGGCAGTTTCTGATATTATAATCTACAGAACTAGGCAGGGGTTCAGATCATTATTCAAATACAGCGTGTACTAATAAACATGCAAGATGAAAGACGACTTAAAGGTCCTCGTTGATATTTAATAGCTATCTCACGTGTGTAAAAAAAATATTTCATGGCTTTAAAACTGTTTTTTGAAAGATTTTAAGTTGATTCAAATTTTGTCATTAGATCAAAGACGACCTTCAAATCGTCTCTCAACAGTTGTGTTAATTTGGGATACATTGTATCTTTGTAATTTCTTCTCTAAAGCTGTTGTTTACACTCTACTAAATATTATAAGGTTTAAGTTGGGTTTTCTTCTGCTGTTCATTGAGCGTTTTATTTATTAATTAATTTAATTTTTTAATGAGTTTGTTTGAAATGGATGATTTGTTGTTTTCATTGAAACGTGGATATAAACTAAATTACGGTCGAATCTTACAATTTTTATCTTTTTACAACTTACATAAAGGAAGGGATAGATGGGATTTAACAAATATAATATGAATAGAAGAACACTTATTGATTCTAAATATAAATACATAATGAATAACACGTGTATTAAATGAGAGGAGTAGGGGATTTTCATTCTCTACATCTGACATTTTTACTTCTATTTCTTTTAAGAGAATTTCCACAGACGTGTTCTGTCTTCTATAAATAAGACTTGATTTTTTATTACATTTATTGATTATATATTCAAGGGCCGGGTACATGTTTTCTTGAATATATTATATATTTTGTCCCACCCCCACACAAAAAATATTAAAGATCGGTATATGTCAGTTTCAAGGAAAGTTTGTCAATGTCCAATTTTTCATTTTCCCCAAAAACATCGAAAATAATTTCTCCCACCATGCAATGGGGAACCGGGGTGGGGTGGGGTTAAATTCTTGAAAATAAATATCCCTAAAATGTACCTCAGGTGGGGGTCAGGACTTCTTAAACTGGAGTAGCTTTCGGATCTTGATTCTTATGTTTTTTTAATCCTGATTTTATTAAATGGATATTTTTAAGCTTTAACACTTGATCTCAATATACTATGTGGGCACTTAAATTTTTTAGTATCTTTGCTCGATCTTTCAATTTAAGTTATCCAAATCCAAAGAGTTTTTGTGAAAAAACTCCTTCGTGGATATCAGAGTATCAACTCTGAACCTATTTTTGTTATTTTTTTGAAAAATATTCGATTTCTCTCGAAATAGTAAAAAATGTTTTTTTTATTTTAATTTTTTTCGACATTCCATGAATAAGCAAAACCTTATCTGAAATCAGTTTCAAAAATATGATAAAATTTGAACAATGTAAAGTGACCCAACATTTCCGATTCACACCCGTGTCTGTTAAAGTTTTACCTTTGTCTGAGTACACATGATTAAGTTTTTACTTTTTTCTCCTTCTATAAACTGAGCTAAAACTTTAGAATGAGATTTCCTTAATCCCTATTACTTAATCCGAGTATCCAATGAACACAGTTTTGATTTTATCCTTAAACCGTTCTTTCTTGGATATACTAGAGAAAAATCAAAAACCGGTGTTTTTTTTTATTTAGATAGTCCCTCCCGTTTTTGAATATAATCTTAAGTGGCGCGCAAAATTTCAAATTTATCGGCTTCATATACGCAACTCTGATTGGTTGAATTTTATACACTTTTCAAGATACAAGTACAAGATTAGGTTAGTCTCGATATTAAGAGAAAGAGAGGATCAAGCATTAATCTCAATATCCACCATTCTAAAGTTTCAGCTCTGATTATTTTAATGGCGGTACTCTATAATAGCGACTCATGCGCATTTTTGGGGCAAGAGAAAAAGAAGTAAACTGTCAGAATTTAGCATCTTTCAAGTGAGAAAAGCAACGAGAGTACTTATGTAAATCGGACATGCCACTCAATAGATGAAGGATCACTAGTATTAACGTTCAATAAACAAAGATTTTTAACATTTATTGCTAAATACAGACTAGAGCAAGAATGTAACGCAAAGAAAGTTAATTGCAGTTGCGTATACTCTGCGTACATATTGAAACCAGTTCTCTCTAGGCGGAATTTGTAAACAAGAAAAGATGCATCAGTGTTCGTTTAGTATCCGAGGAGGATAAAAGCATTGAATTTGATAATTTTGATAATTCACATAATAGTTTCCTATGACCAGAATATTTTATTGATTATTTATGTAAAGATGGATCCCATGTCAGGCTTAGACATCCGTCTTGTGTTTATATTACCGCCCACTGACAGTACACTGCAGTACAAAAGATGCGTACACCTCTGAAATAACTTTCCTTGCATAAAACCCTTGGGCTAGAGGATAATATAGAACAGAATCCAGATCCCACTAGACGGAAATAAGAAATGAGAAACAGAAAAGTTGATTAGTTTCTTAATTAAACTTTTCAGGCATTTCAGCAAGGAGCTTGAGAAAATTAACAGAGAGGGGAAAAATATTAGATCTCAGGTAATAAAAGAATTTACAAAAAAAGTGTTAGATGGAAGAACTGTGTGAATTTTATAATTTGATTTAATTTGAAATTTCAAAGTTAGATTATTTGATCGAACAGATTTCATAAAATATCAAATACGACTTTGGTTGATAAAATATAGGGATTAGCAAATTAGAGTTTGCGACAAAGACTCAATTTGGGTTAAAAAAAAATTAAATTTGATTGAAAATAATAATGGCCCGATTTACAATTGGTTTTTAATTTTTAGACTGAGAATTCTAGTGAGCTGGGACCAAGTGTTAGTCAGCTGGGACCTAGTGTTGTAATATTCCATGAAACTATTCATACAGAACCGTTAACCGGCCCTGATACCGAGGGGGTACTAAGAGCTAGGTTTACTAGTATGAGCCAGGTAGATTTCGTTCTTCCAAACTTGTCAAAATCTAACAATATTCTTCATGCATTCGGCAGATCTCATTTTGGAATTTAAGGTTTTTAACTCTTTTTTAACTTTATCAATTTATTTATTTTTTATTTTTATTATGAAACAAATTATTTGATACATGTATTTAATGCAGAAAAAAATGCCGCAAATTATTTCAAAGATTAAAGACGATCTTCAAGTAATCTTGCTACTATCACGTTTCTTGGAACACCCTGTAGTTACAGTGGGTCCCATTAGTTGCACATCTTGTATTGTACATGGGAAGCAAGGAATAAAACAAGCAATAGAATAAAACAAGACTTCATCTTCAGCCTGGTGTAACTGAAAGAAGGAGTCTAATCCTTAATGGGTATACAACCCATGCACAACAATACCGGTTTTTTACTTGACCAGCGGTGAGGACTTGACTGCTGTGGAAGATTGCTCTCAATTGGGCTTTAGGGATTACAACTCCCCATTTTGCATAAGGGGTGCAGTTATGGGTTTCCTTAATGCCCTTTAACTTAGAAAGAGTATAATAGAAGGAACCCCCCGCTGGGGGGAGGGGGTGAAACAATTGCTCCCTCCCCCCTCCTTTCCTTCAAGAAAATATTAGGAAATTGTGTTTTTACTTAGTCAGACGCAACTCAAGAGTTAACAATTCTATATAGAGTTCAGAGAAAAGAAAGAAAGCAAGATCTTCAGCTAGTTCAATTAAATACAGGGTTCAGAAAAAAAGCAAGATCCTTAAAATAACTCTTTCTTGTAAAGTGACGAACAACAAGGACATCCAAAACAATTCTTTTCTTTTTATTTTCAAAATTATGAACATGATTGAAAGATGTACGAACTAAAAGAAAATGAAAACGAGAAATATAGAAATCTCCAATATTTCCAACTTATATCATGTAAATATTTAAAAATATTGTAAAATTTAATTAAAATAAATAATTAAAGTTAAAAGTGGGTCCCATGAAACTGGGAAGTTGGTTTTCAAGGTGCTGGTAAAACTATTTGCTTTACAACAACATCAAATGCGAAGTAGATGGCTTAATTGTCGTTTTCATATTCCACAGTTTTAATGAAGATATTTCTAACGATTAGTTTAGCTTGTAATGAAAATTAAATAAATAGTGTTTTATAAATAATGTCTATTTAAGCTGAGCCAAAACTTATAAATGAATGGATGAATTAGACTTCTTAATCCGTTTCTCTTTGATCGAAATTCAACTTTGACTGAGATATCAGTAAATGTAAATTTTCACAAAGCGAAATTGCAAAGATGGCAATACCCGACTCACAACGGTACCCTTGAAACCTTATTATGGTCACAAATGTGGAGATACCGTCAATATTCTAACTTGAACAACTTTATTTCTGTGAGTTTTTCTATATCTTTTTATTAACTAAAATTCGCAATTGTTGTTTTTGGAGGAAACCTGCGAATGTAAATTAACACTAAACAGTTTATTGGAACAAAAACTCCTGTATGTATAAAATGCCTTTTTTTCGACTACGAAATGTGCACCCTTTAGAAGGTGGGTTGGGAGGTTAGTAAAGGTCGGAGAGTGTTATGAATGCCAGAAACAAGCTTAAAACAATTGATTTAATTGGAATCGATACCCATATTGTATACTATGCACAAAGAATAATCACAGAGTGGGGATGGGGTCTCTTTAAAAACTGAAGGTAGTTGAGTTATATAATTCCTACTTGATCAGACAAAGCTTTCAAAACGGGCATTGTCATCTTTGCAACGAGTATCACTTGAAATTATGCTTACAGTCCCTTTAAATAATGAAAATATTTGTAGGATATATCCTCGTTCTCTAAACTGGTTTATATCGGAGTTCGGACAGATATGCAAACTAGAACATGTTTTAAACCTCTCCTAGATATTGTTTCCAGGTAAATGTAAATACAGGGTGTCCAAATAAACATGAAAATCAAAATCAGCTTAATTTTTTTGATAATGGATCAAAAATGAAGTTTATCAAAAAAAACGTGTTTAAGCTTTATAAACTGCAGTCTTTTGTATCTTAAAAATTGACGGAGATATTAAACATTTTAAATTGGTTTTTGTTGTTGATCAATTATTCAAATTTCTCTAAATCTCCGTCAATTTTAAAAGTGATAAAATGGCAGACCACATTTTGGAAAGCTCTTGACAAGAAGTCGTTGGTGTTAATTGCTTTAACTAATATACTACTGAAATTATGTGAAATGATACCGCGTGAAATAAAGATAATAGAAGTTATCAATTCATGTTTATTAAGACATTTAATGAATTTGAGACGCGGCTTAAATTTGAGAAGCGGCTCAAATATGGTTGGTTCCACTTAAAATTGTATTCAATGTTTTAAGATTTAAGCCGGCGCTCAATTGATACCGGTTTTTTGGCGGATATAATACGCGGCTCAAATTTATTAAATTCGGACTCTGTACGACGTACTCAGATCCTCCCCGGGATTCTAGAATTATTATTCGCAGCAATATGCGTATTAAAGGATGTTTATTTTTAAGAATGTTTTTCTTAGCGGAGGGGAAATGATATTCGAGATTGTTTGAGAGAGAAAGGAAGGGTGGGGGGAAATTGGACCTACAACTTAAAAGTTTTTCCCTTTTTTTATTGTTATTGTTTGCCCCAAAGTTATAATGACCTTAATTATAGTTTCCTTGATTAATGATTATTTCCTGATTTCGCAATTAAATATGTTCCAAAGAAAACGAGAGAAAAAGATTTTTGAAGAGAGAGGATGAGGGGGGGGGAGCACTGATTTTTAATAATTTTTTAACCCGTAATCAAATTGTACTTTTTTAGTACTGTATGCTCCAATTTGTGAAGTATAGACAATCAAAAAATAAGTTTTTTACTTCTTGATTTACTCCAAGGCGCGTTGTATTACAATGTTTGTATTCTTGTTTGAAATTGTTGGATAAACTTAAGTTTTGTTTGTTCTAGTGAGGTTACTGATACTACAGTTCGGTCACCTAGAAATATTTCTCATGTATATAAGGTAATGTCTTAACGATTTTTTTTGACTGGGGCTCCGCCCTGACTTCACGGAGCGTCACTTGAAATATTGTAAACAGTCCCTTTAAAGCGTTTTATTGTAGGCGCTGGTTAGCTTGAACTCTAAGTTCAGTGGAGACGTTTCTCCTTCCCATCGTTCCTTCCCAGACCAGTACTTTACCTGTCAATCTACATGTCAGGTAGTACTTAACCTGTCAATCTAAAAGTCAGGTAGTACTTTACCTGTCAATCTACATATCAGGTAGTACTTTACCTGCCAATCTACATGTCAGGTAGTACTTTACCTGTCAATCTACATATCAGGTAGTACTTTACCTGCCAATCTACATGTCAGGTAGTACTTTACCTGTCAATCTACATGTTAGGTAGTACTTTACCTGTCAATCTATATGTTAGGTAGTACTTTACCTGTCAATCTATATGTTAGGTAGTACTTTACCTGTCAATCTATATGTCAGGTAGTACTTTACTTGCCAATCTACATGTCAGGTAGTACTTTACCTGTCAATCTATATGTTAGGTAGTACTTTACCTGCCAATCTATATGTCAGGTAGTACTTTACCTGTCAATCTACATGTCAGGTAGTACTTTACCTGTCAATCTACATGTTAGGAAGTGCTTAAAATCTCATCAGGAAGTAATTTAAGAATCATTTCACTAGTTGATAGATCTTCACAATGGACACAAGTTATTTTGATTTTTCATTTTGAAAAATATTTTGTAAATATCTAATTTTTTTATATTTGTTTCAGAGCTGTGCGGGTCGTTGTTGTAAACAAATCAAGCATACAGGAGATCACTGTACAGATACAACTGTACAGTGTACATACTCTGTGCAGTTAGAGAATAAGGTTTACACCTGCAGATACTGTCAGGTATGATATATATTTGATCACCTCCCCCGGTAATGTTACATCGTCTATACGCAACATCCCCCCTACTGAACTTCCGACCTACTAACTTTCCGACCTACTGCAATATCGGACCTACGCCAGCTGTTTATTTTTGTATTATTTCAGGGTTAGGTTAGGTTAAGACAATTTCTGGGCCGAGCGCTGCGGCTAGGACAGGCTAGGGGGCCGAGCGCTGCGGCCACAAGTCCATATAGCAGCTGTAAAATCACGTGCTAGTAGGTCGGATGTATAGTATAGCGGATTTGGCGAAGGTCAGAAGTGGAGTATAGCGGATTTGCATAGGTCGAAAAATACACCACCACTTTGATTATTGATTATTGATTAAAATAGGCTTAAACTTTATTATTTCAGTTGAACAAGAAAACATTTCTAATAAAAACCAAAAGTATCTTCAAAAAAATCTTCCTCTGTGATTTAAGAAAATGTTTGAAATGTGGTTACTGTACGAAATGTGGTTAGCGTATTTTTTGTTTTTTGAGAAAAATAGAATTTTTCAATCTTAAAATGTAGGTTGAAAAATCTTTAAAATTCTGATTCTCTAGGACAATGGAAGACGATGTGTAGTAGTACCTAAGGCAGCGGCCTCCAAGGAGAGCTCCTGGGTTGGATTAGCAAAATTTGCCTGGTCAGGCTTTGTATTAGAATGTCAACGGTGTGGAGTAATATATAGGTGAGAACCAGCTGTGGACCCATCCACTTCTCCTACACCTCCCCCCCTCCCCCCTCAACCGGTACCCACGAATTGTGTCTATTTTTTTTTCTTTTCTACTGTTATTTAAATCATTTTCATTCATTCAAGATTATCTATCGAGAAAAGTAAAATTTTTTTTTTTTTGAATTTTGAATTGCATTAAAGGGACTGTGATTGTAATTTTAAGTGACCCTTTATTTTAAAAATAGGAGCATGCCCAATGCACAATGGTACCGATAATAACCTTAGTTTAAATGAGCTGATTTTTCAGATCTCGGCAACAGTGGTTCGGTAACCTTGATCCTGAAACACAGGGTGTTGTACAGACTCATGTAGCACATGTTTGGCCAGGGGTAAGTGTTTTAGTGACTTATTTAGCACATGTTTTGCTAGGGGTAATTGTTTTATACACTTATTTAGCACATGTTTGGCTAGGGTTTAGTGCTTCATAGGCCCATGTAGCACATGTTTGGCCAGGAGTAAGTTTTTATAGACTTGTGTGGCCCATGTTTGGGCAGGGATAAGTGTTTTTGTGACTCAATTAGCACAGATGTGGTTAGTGGTAAGTGTTTCATATATTAATCTAGCACATGTTTGGCCAAGGATAAGTGTTTTTTATCTCATGTAGCACATGTTTGGCTAGTGGTAAGTTTTTGGTAGACTAGTGTAGCGAATATTGTGCCGGGGATATGTGTTTTTTAAATTGATCAGTAAATGTTTGGCTAGGGGTAAGTTTTGAGTGGACTCGTGTAGCGAATGTTGTGCCGGTGATATGTGTTTTTTAAATTCACTAGGCTTTTAGGGCGCTTTGCGCCCACCCATCTTCTATTTAAATTGTGAAAATGTTCTTTTTGTTTATATTTTATTTTACAACAAAGAAAAAAATTTCGCGGATTTTTAAAAAAAAATTCGCGGATTTTCAAGAATTTAATTTTTTTTACAAAATTAAAAACCTTTAAAACACATTTTTTTTAATTTTTATCATTCGTAAATCTTTCCTGTGGTCACGTGATGTCCCACAAAAAATTTGGGCCCGATCGGTTTAGCCGTTTTGACGTTTATTGGATACAAACAAACAGACAAACAGACAGACAAGCCAAATTTATATATAGATTTAGTAAATGTTTGGCTAGGGGTAAGTGTTTTCTTACTCATGTAGCACATGTGTTGCAAACAAATTACATTGGCAGGTTTATTTCTTGCAAACAAAATAGATTGGAAATTTTTCTTGAACAAAATGAAATTCCGAAATATCTTCTTTCGTTTGTTTTTACTTTGAAAATTATAGTTAGTTATAAACCAGTTTGAAACTATGACGTAAACAAATCAGTTTGAAACTAGGACGTAAACAAATCAGTTTGAAACTATGACGTAAACAAATGGTAGTTTTTTTAAGTTGGCGAAGCATTGTATTTCACGAACGAGAAAAAAATCTTATATTCAAATTTCTAACTAAACCTAAAAACCTTCAATTAGATAAAAGTGCAATTTTCATGAACAGACTCGATCATAAACGATAAGTTATCAAATTTTAGGAACCTACCGTTAACGCTGTTAACAATCGAGATCGTTAACGAACAGCAACTTGATATTCGAAAGAAAAATCGTTAACTAAACTAAAAGCTCCGTTATTAGTAATGAGCAAATGACTACTTAATGAGCCTGTCCGATGACTGTTCCTAAAATGTATCTAACTGTAAAAGAACGAATGGAAAAAAGTTCAAGCGTGCCCCCGCCATGGATATATAATAGAATGGATATATCATAGTCAATGTTTGATGTAATTTTATGGCTGGGGTGTCATGCAGTACGTCAGACATTGGACCCTGGAGTTATAAATTTATCTTTGGTTTTCGTAAAGTTAATAGTTGTCAAAGTAGTATAGAAAAACATTCTTAAAACTTGGAGAAATTTAGCCTCCTTCTTTGTATCATAAAAGTTGTCGGAAATACTAAACAAATACGTCAGACCACATTTTGGAAATCTCAAAATGGTGTTTCTACAAGATTTTAACTATGGTATATCATTTCTGTTTACTGCAAGGCCAATTTAACAAGGCTCTTTTCTGATTTGGACCCTGGATTTTACTTCAAACTTTTTTAAAGAACAAAATATTTTTATAGAAATAAAATTGTTAAAGTCAAACCTAAAGTACACCGTGACCATGCAGAGGTTTAAAATTTCCCAACAAAGTCTAGGGTCAACTCAGATAGAACAGCTGTAAAGCACAAAATTACATGTACGCTGGCCCAGAAAAAAATAGATCGGTAGATAGAAGCATATCTGTAAGCGGGCCGTGGCCCCAGCCCTATTTGATTAGGTTAGGTTAAAACAATTTCTGGGCCGAGCGCTGCGGCTAGGACAGGCTAGGGGGCCGAGCGCTGCGGCCACAAGTCCATATAGCAGCTGTAAAATCACGTGCTAGTAGGTCGGATGTGTAGTATAGCGGATTTGGCGTAGGTCAGAAGTGGAGTATAGCGGATTTGCATAGGTCGAAAAATACACCACCACTCCCCAGTCCCCATCTCCCCATTTTTGATTATTGATTATTGATTATTGATTATTGATTATTGATTATTGATTATTGATTATTGATTATTGATTATTGATTATTGATTAAAATAGGCTTAAACTTTATTATTTCAGTTGAACAAGAAAACATTTCTAATAAAAACCAAAAGTATCTTCAAAAAAAAAAAAAATCGTGTATTTGCAAAATTTAATTAAAATCAAATTTCGTTGGAGGCTTACTTTTGAAATTTTGATCATACATAAACCTTCCCTGGGGTCATGTGAGGTCGTGCACAAAATTTTGTCCCGATTGGTTCAGCCGTTTTGACGTTTATAGAAACAAACAAACAAACAGACATACAAGCAAAGTAGATATAATAATAATTTTATTATTATTATTAATATTTTAATTATTATCATTATTATTTATTATTATTATCATTATCATTATCATTTGATTTGTTTATAGATGGTGTGACCGCTATTTCTGGAAGTGTAACTGAAGTGTCTGGAGCGCCAGCTGTTTCTCTAGCAAGGTATATCAAGATTAGGGTTTCCAACGCAAGTGGATTTTACTTGCGCACAGTTGCGCCGCAATTCCGCGCAACGGAATTCCGATTGATAACCCCAATCAAGAGGGCATATGTTTTCCAATCATTTCCGAGATCTATGTACAATGTACATTGTACAAACAATTTCTAGCAACTCCGCGCAAATCTGCTTGCGGATTGCGCTTGGACGCGCAAATGTGGCACCTAAATGTGCCCGCAAACTTGTGTGCAAACTTTTCCACTTGAAACAACTCGTTTAGGTACAGTTAAGGGCCACCCACAAAAGACAAGCTTTAAACTCTTTGAATTTAACAATCTGAAGGTTGAACTTTGCAATCAAATAATAATTATTTTAATGATAAATTAAAAAAAAAAAAATCTCACAGGTCTGTGGGACCCAAGAATTTAATTTAAAAACTAAAAACATTCATTTTCAATCTTCTCTTAAGTTTACAAATTCAAATTGTTGAATCCCTAAGCATTATACCCTTGCAACTAAATGGTGTAAATCTTTGATTTTCAAATTTAGCATATTTGAATTTATAGAATTTATAGTCGGAAATATCTAAGGTCTACGACATTGGATTGCAGTACAGATGCCCTTCAGGTCGGTTTCCGCTCTTCGTTAACGATCGTTAACGAAGGTTCGTCGTTAACGAAACAATGATTTTTATAAAAACGATCGTTTAAAAACGACCATTTTTAAAAGACGAACTTTTAAAAAACCCCGATCGTTTTTAAAAACGTCGTCGTTTTCATAACAAAACGATCGTTTAAAAAAAAATGAAAAAATTAACATCCTTAATTGCAAATGCATGGAATCAGAAAATAGAGTTTGGGGCAAAGACTCAATTCCTTTCTACTTTTCCAACTTTTGTCGATTTTTCTGTCTGTAAGGATTCTAAGAAAAGTCCAAGTTATCATACCGTAGATCTAACTAAATAAAATTTCAGATGGGCGGCGGATCAAGTTGCTCCCAGCTACTGGAAACCCAATTCGGAAATAGTTAAATGTCATAGCTGTCCCACTATGTAAGTTAGTTATTGCAGCTGGGACCGAATTTTATTAATTTGAGCTACGTCGGTGAAATCCCTACTGCCGGTTCAAATTTGAGCAGCCGATTCAAAGAGCTAGGAAGGATTCAAAGAACCGGCGGTAGGCATTTCAACGACACCCCAAATTCATTAAAATTCTATCCCTGTTTCATATATTTTAATCTTCTCAACCAGCACTTAGTTACAAATACTGTAAAAAAAAATAATACTAAAAGTGAAACAGAAAACTCTGAAGTATGAAGACATCTTTAAGACTCAAGTTATGACTTTAAATAGTCTAATAACTTTAAGACTCAAGTTATGACTTTAAATAGTCTAATAACTTTAAGACTCAAGTTATGACTTTAAATAGTCTAATGCAGAGCTATTGTGCCATTTTACTTAATTAGTCTTTTAGTTTGTTTCTAGTTAAAGCATTTGCTTTGCAACAACATCAAATACACTTAGATATTGCTAATTACTATATTGTCGTCTTCTTATTCCAGAGTTTTCTGGTTCTCACTGTATTTGTTTCAGTTTTAGCGGAACCTGTAAAATACATCACTGTAGAAAGTGTGGGGAGGGGTTTTGTGATACTTGCTCAAACTACCAGGAACATACATTCATTCAACATTTGTAACATTACTGCTACGACTTTGTGATCTCGTAGCTCCTCTAGTTTTGATTTAACGCACAAGTATGAAGAAAGGAAATTTATCAGAGGCCGAATTTAAAGAATTTGAGCCGCGGCTCAAATTTTGTTGGTTCCACTTAAATTTGTATTAAATTTTTCAAGATTTAAGCCGGCGCTCAATTGAAACCGGTTTTTGGGGGATTTTAGACGCGGCTTAAATTCATTAAATTCGGACACTGTATACATATTAGAAATTCAAAACATTTTTTTTTTCTCAACAGCTATCCAGTCTCCAATAAGAAGAGTTATGATTGAAAGTATATATGATACCAACGTTAATTACAATTTACTTTCTATTAAACCCTCCCCCCTCCCCGTTTTATCTGAGTTTGAATGATGTATTGTATAGAAACCTGTACCAGAGAAGGGTTGGGGTGTTCATCCCGTTCGTGTTTGTAAACTCTGTAGTCTGGTGAGTATTGAGCAGTGCTAAAGCGAGAAATTATGATGTATATCTTAAAAAATAATTATACCTCCTACTTTTTAAAATCCGGCCACTTTCTTCATTTTTTCATTTTTTCAGCCAGTTGAACAGAACTCATTTAAGTACATGAGTTTAAATCTGTTAAATATAGTTGTTAAATGAAGGACTTTCGTCTACTTAGCACTGCTGTCACGTGAGAATGCGTATCTAACCTATTCCCTCCTAATGTTTAGGTATGGTGTTTCTTGCCTCAAAAAAAAAAAAAATTGGGGTCATCAAGTTGAGGTGTGCGCGGAGAGTTGACCCCATTTTTTTTATTTTGGGGCAAGAAACATCTATAGAATGTTTTCTAGACAATACTTTATGGTTTAGGTTTGTGATCAGGATGTTGTTCATAATTCTCATCAGACTGAACCTAAAGAAGTTCAAGTTAGAAAGGTAGAATTAATTACAGTTTAATCCAGATCTTCAGATACTCCAAAAGAATTTATAAAATGTCGTCTTCTAAACCTACTGATAATAGTATGCTGAAGATATTTAGTTTTCTAATTGAATATTGAGCTTTTTGAAATCGTTCCCTCTTATTTCAAGCTCGTTATTGATTTTTACAATAACTAAGATTTAGGTATTACAGTATAAAATCCATTAAAAAATTGCCAAGACGACATTTTATAAATTCTTTCGATGTCTCCAAAGTTCTTGGCTGAACTGTATTTAAATATTTCCCGATTTTTTCAATTATCAAATGTTTTTTTGTTTCCCAGTCGTAGCGCTCATCTTTGTAATTTCCAATCCATGCTCATTTTATTTCCAAATAATTAGTCATTTGTTAAATATTCATTTGGAAATCAGCATTAGTCATTTGTTAAATATTCATTTGGAAATCCGCATTAGTCATTTTATAAATATTCATTTGGAAATCCGCATAAGTCATTTTTTAAATACTAGCCTGAGAGGGCGCTTCGCGCCCATCTTCTAAATTAATATGTTCTCTTTGTGTACATCGTAAAACAAAACAAAAATAATTCGCGGATTTTCACAAAAAATTTCGTGGATTTTCAAAATTTTAAAAAATTTATTGAAGATCGAATTTTGATGGAAACAAATATTTGAAATTTTGATCATTCATAAACCTTCCCTGGGGTCCCTAGATGTCCCACAAAAAATTTGGGCCCGATCGGTTCAGCCGTTTTGACGTTTACAATATTTATTCAGGTTTCCTTTGTGTTTAAATCTTTGTACTTTTAAGCATAATTTCAAGTTCTTAACTTTGCAATGATGGAGCATATTTTAAAATTCAAGAATTATCACTAGGGGCTTGTTTTAACGATAAGTTAAATTAAAATGACGGGCGCCGGGCCCATTAATTAAACGTTATTTGGTTAAAAATTAACGATTTTCTATTGTTAGAGAAATTTCCCAGAATTTTCGTTCCCAGGCAGAATGTTTTAATTTTTAATTTTAAAATACTTAATTTAGTTCTGGTTTAGTTAGGCTGACACATGTAAATCAGTGAAATTGTTCAATTAAAAAGTATCCATCAATTTTTTATCTTACAATGTTTCATTCTTTAAATGAATTTTTTCGTTACATTTCAAAAACTTTCATTACTTTTTTTTATGTTCGTTCATTTTCAAAAGTTGTGTTAACAATTAAACACTTCTGTGAATTTTCCGAAACTTCTGTAAATTTTCAAAAAAAATCAGTTTATTTTTAAAAAAATTCCGTTAATTTTCTCCTTTGAGATGATTCCTTTTCTTTTTATTCAACTGTTCTATCAATTTCATTCCGTTGAATATCGAAAACGTCGTTTCACTAAAGAAACACTTTACTCAGTAAACTAAATATTTAAATGCCAACCCATTCAACTTAGAATCAAGCTTAAAATAATCCCGTGGTTCTACCGAGCTCCCAATTAAAATATAAGGCAAATTGTTCACGGGATTTCTGTTTTATGATCGGACACACAAACAAACAAACAAACAGAGATTATTGTTTTTATATAATGGAAAGAGATGCTTCACCTAAGATATTTCCTAATTGACTAAATCTCCAGAGGCCTCCAAAAGCTGATATGCATTATCATGAGATATGTTCTCTACTAGCCATTTTTTGCATGATCATTGAATGTTGTCATTAGTGGGTACAGTTAGTAGTTTAATGTACCATATATAGGTTGGAGAAAGTGTACTTAGTATAATTAGTAGTTTAGTGTACTATATCTAGGTTGGGGTAAGTGTACTTAGTATAATTAGTAGTTTAATGTACTATATCTAGGTTGGAGAAAGTGTACTTAGTATAATTAGTAGTTAAGTGTACTATATCTAGGTTAGAGAAAGTGTACTGGGTACAGTTAGTAGTTTAGTGTACTATATCTAGGTTGGAGAAAGTGTACTGGGTACAGTAAGTAGTTAAGTGTACTATATCTAGGTTGGAGAAAGTGTACTTAGTATAATTAGTAGTTTAGTGTACTATATCTAGGTTGGAGAAAGTGTACTTAGTATAATTAGTAGTTTAGTGTACTATATTTAGGTTGGAGAAAGTGTACTTAGTATAATTAGTAGTTGAGTGTACTATATCTAGGTTAGAGAAAGTGTACTGGGCACAGTTAGTAGTTTTGTGTACTATATCTAGGTTGGAGAAAGTGTACTGGGTACAGTAAGTAGTTTAGTGTACTATATCTAGTTTGGAGAAAGTGTACTGGGTACAGTAAGTAGCTTAGTGTACTATATCTAGGTGGGAGAAAGTGTACTGGGTACAGTAAGTAGTTTAGTGTACTATATCTAGGTTGGAGAAAGTGAACTGGGTACAGTTAGTAGTTTAGTGTACCATATCTAGGTTGGAGAAAGTGTACTGGGTACAGTTAGTAGTTTAGTGTACCATATCTAGGTTGGAGAAAGTGTACTGGGTACAGTTAGTAGTTTAGTGTACCATATCTAGGTTAGAGAAAGTGTACTGGGTACAGTTAGTAGTTTAGTGTACTATATCTAGGTTGGAGAAAGTGTACTGGGTACAGTAAGTAGTTTAGTGTACTATATTTAGGTTGGAGAAAGTGTACTGGGTACAGTAAGTAGTTTAGTGTACTATATTTAGGTTGGAGAAAGTGTACTGGGTTCAGTAAGTAGTTTAGTGTTCTATATTTAGGTTGGAGAAAGTGTACTGGGTACAGTAAGTAGTTTAGTGTACTATATCTAGGTTGGAGAAAGTGTACTGGGTACAGTTAGCAGTTTAGTGTACTATATCTAGGTTGGAGAAAGTGAACTGGGTACAGTTAGTAGTTTAGTGTACTATATTTAGGTTGGAGAAAGTGTACTAGGTACAGTTAGTAGTTTAGTGTACTATATCTAGGTTGGAGAAAGTGTACTGGGTACAGTTAGTAGTTTAGTGTACTATATGTTGGAGAAAGTGTACTGGGTACATTAAGTAGTTTAGTGTACTATATATAGGTTGGAGAAAGTGTACTGGGTACAGTTAGTAGTTTAGTGTACTATATTTAGGTTGGAGAAAGTGTACTGGGTACAGTTAGTAGTTTAGTGTACCGTATCTAGGTTGGAGAAAGTGTATTGGGTACAGTTAGTAGTTTAGTGTACCATATCTAGGTTGGAGAAAGTGTACTGGGTACAGTTAGTAGTTTAGTGTACTATATCTAGGTTGGAGAAAGTGTACTGGGTACAGCTAGTAGTTTAGTGTACTATATCTAGATTGGAGAAAGTGTACTGGGTACAGTTAGTAGTTTAGTGTACTATATTTAGGTTGGAGAAAGTGTACTGGGTACAGTTAGTAGTTTAGTGTACTATATTTAGGTTGGAGAAAGTCTACTGTGTACTATATTTAGGTTGGAGAAAGTGTACTGGGTACAGTTAGTAGTTTAGTGTACTATATTTAGGTTGGAGAAAGTGTACTGGGTACAGTTAGCAGTTTAGCTAATACTCTGGAGATACCGATATCATTAATCAAGGTTAGTGTAAATCCTAAATTATTGATTATTTTATAATTTAACCCAGTACTTTGAAGACATCAGAAGAATTTTTATGAAACTACCGTGTACTTTATCATTCTTACACACTTCATGGCGAATTTTATTATGAACGTGCTATAAAGTTATCATCGTGCTATAAAGCTGTAAGTTTTGATTGGTTCCCGGATTTTCTCCAAAACAAAATTAGGATATTTCCAAAATATATTTTTCTATATATAATGAAAATGAAGTTGAAATTAACTTTATGTTTTTATTTCTGTATGGTTAAAAAGCTTATTTTATTTAGATATAGCAATTGAAATAAGACAAGTACACAAATGTTTCATAAAATTACCTAAAACATTCAATTATCAGAAGGTTAAGAAGACGACATTTTATTTATCCTTACGTTACCTCAAAAGTTGTGGGCTAAACTGTAATAAATTAAATATTTCTTGATTTATTTAGGTTTCATGTTGAAATTTTGATTTTTTTTCATGAGTTTACTGCAATTGATAATTAGTTAGAAAAATCGAGAAACCCTTATGAACAAGAAAAAATTATAACAATTAACTTAACTGAACTCATGCAGTACAATTATAATAAACTGTACGGATTTCTTTTGTACAAAGATTCTAATAACAATGTACTTTGCAGGATACTTTCAGGACAACTACTCTATATAATGTAATATAGGATTCCTTCTTTACAAGGATTCAAATACCAATGTACTGTAAAGGACTCTTGCAGTACAATCAAAACAAAAAGTACTGTGCTGGATACCTTCAGAATAAGGATTCCATAAACAATGTACTTCATAGGACTCATTCAGAAATAAACGTATCTTATTAGGATTCAGCTCGACCTGAATATTGGGTACCTGATTCAGAAATAAACTTATCTAACTAGGATTCAGCTCGACCTGAATATTGGGTACCTGATTCTGAAATAAACATGTACTTAGTAGGATTCAGCCCGACCTGAATATTGGGTACCTGATTCAGAAATAAACATGTACTTTCTAGGATTCAGCTCGACCTGAATATTGGGTACCTGATTCTGAAATAAACATGTACTTTCTAGGATTCAGCTCGACCTGAATATTGGGTACCTGATTCTGAAATAAACATGTACTTACTAGGATTCAGCTCGACCTGAATATTGGGTACCTGATACAGAAATAAACATGAACTTTCTAGGATTCAGCTCGACCTGAATATTGGGTACCTGATTCAGAAATAAACATGTACTTTCTAGGATTCAGCTCGACCTGAATATTGGGTACCTGATTCAGAAATAAACAGCTGTGCAGTTTGTGATAATCCTATTGGACCCAAAGCTCCGGTCTCACAGGTGATAGAGCAGTGATCCCTGGATCCTTATTTAATGAATTTGAATTGGCTACCGCCGGTATAAATTTTAATTACTGAATCAAACCCTTTCTTTATCTTTAAATTTGAGTTATTAGTTCAAATGTAAACCGGCAGTAGAAAGTTTAGCGACGTATCTCAAATTAATTAAATTCGGCCCCTGGATTCATATTTAATAAATAGCGAGACGTAGACGTAGTTCAACCACTTATCTTCATTTTGAACTGGTTCACAAGAGAAAATGTTTTGAACGACTTTTGTCTGGTTCAGCTATTTCACGCTGTTCAGATAAACTTTCGAATCAATTGTTTTCTAGTTTTTTTAAAGCAAGTATAAAACTTCTTGTGCACAAAACTTAATTTTTATAGATTATCAAATAATACTTTTTAAACTGATATTGTCTTACTTAGACCTATAGGAAAAGTGCCCCACTATAACGATAAACTACAGGGTTACCCACAAAGGATGAGACGGTAAAGACGACCTAAAACTCTCGAGGTCAAAGTTAGACTTCTGTCTTGAACCTACTACCTAGTCTTTAAATGGCTAAGTAACTGATTAGGCAAGGAAATAATGGAGTTTACAGTTGCAGGGAATCATGAATACGAAGCAACAGACAGTATAAATTCCGTACAGTCGTCTCTGTATTCTGTGTTGGAAACCCTATAGTTATTATTACAGATTTACTTCTTACTCGAAGAAAAAATGATATGGAAGATATTAAAACAAATATACACTTTAATAGAGTTATTAATCTGTTGACTGTGACAGTACATAAAAAGTTAATCATGAATGAGAGCTAAATTATCATTTTTAACTTAGAGTAATTCATGTTAAATACATTTTCCAAATCATTTTTTGAGACGCCATTTTGTATCTTTATTAAATTTGTGCAGATTTGTTCTTCAATCTTTTTCTTACATTTTAGATTAAACATTTTTTCAAATTTTTCAACTTTAGAGTTTAGACTTGTTTTTGTTAAAAAACTTATTGATTAATGAATATGAGGGTAGTTATTCTTTGATATTTATTGGAAAAAAGTATTCTTAAAGGGTTTGTAGACATAATTTTAAGTTACCCTTCATCGTTATCTTATTTTTCTTTATCAGTTTTTAACATTCTAAAATCATCAAAAAAGTCAATTTTTTCCAATTTAAATTTATTTTAGGGAGTATGCAATAAGTGTAGTTTAACGCGGAGAACTGTTTCTTCAAGGGGCTGGGATGTTCCTGTCAGGTAATAGAGAGCATCTGTGACCCTTTTTAAACACTTGCTTTTTCTTCAATGAGTACTTTTCTCATTTCCTAACTAGGATGAAAAATTATCGTTTAGAAAAGTAACAAAAAGCGTTATAGTATAAAGAACCAAAACTTAAAGCCAAAGGGATTGTTATCGGTGTGGTAGAACATTTCATATGTTAAATGTACATTTTCTGAATAGGACATTTTATATGTATAATGTACATTTTCTGAATAGGACATTTTAAAGATATATGTACATTTTCTGAATAGGACATTTCATAGATATATTACATTTTCTGAATAGGACGTTTCATAGATATATGTACATTTATTGAATAGGACATTTCATATATATATGTACATTTTCTGAATAGGACATTTTATAGATATATGTACATTTCTGAATAGGACATTTTATAGATATATGTACATTTTCTGAAATGGACATTTTATAGATATATCTACATTTCTGAATAGGACATTTTATAGATATATGTACATTTTCTGAATAGGACATTTTATAGATATATTACATTTTCTGATTAGGAAATTTCATAGATATATGTACATTTTTTTAATAGGACATTTTATAGATATATGTACATTTTCTGAATAGGACATTTCATAGATATATGTACATTTTCTGAATAGGACATTTCATAGATATGACAATGCACAGACAGTACATTTTATAGAGAGGGCATTTTCTACAGTGGTCGACGTTTATATTTATAAAATGAAGACGACTTTTCTATTAAAGTTTTTATTTTTAACAAGCGTTTTCAAATTACAAGTTTATAAGTAAACAAAGAGAAGCTGTAAATTGACAGCTTCTCTTGGTTTCCATGTTTATGTGTATCCATGCTGTTTACAGGCTTGGTAGAAATAAAAAGTGCACTCGCAAGTCGTCTTCAATGTACTACTACTACTACTACTGTATCAAATTCATAACTAATATTTTTGTCATCAAAATTTTCCTTTTTTATTATTAAGAAAACAGATTTTTTTATCGGTCTATGAAAATTCCTATGATAAAATGTCATTTGTTTAATTTTGTTTTCTATGAAATGTTCCAACAAATATTTTGGAACACTCGTCTTGCTTGTCGTCTTGTCAATGTTGAATCTAAACAAAATATGCATTGCTAATTAATTACTCTAATTAGAACTTTTAATGTCAACAGTAATGTTATCCAACCCACGTCTGTTCACCAGACTAAGGGACTGTTAGACATTATTTCAAGTGACCCTTCAGTTATGGAATGACCTGTATTATTTACAATGATAGCTTTGACTTATCAAGAACAAGTTTTCCTTAATTTACGGAAAACATGTATTTGTAATTTGGTTGCAAGCAATGGGCGGAAACGTGTGTCTGTACCAAAAGAGTGTGTGTAAGGAATACCGAACCGAAGGCGTGTACTGTAGGTATATACAGTACATACATCTCGGTATTTGTACAGTCTAGGAGAGTATATTTGTTTATTGTTAATTGTTTACTTAAAAATAAGTTTAATATACATGTAGTAAATTATTTATACATTTAAGTCAACACTATAAGCCAAATTTTCATGCAAAGAATATAATTTGATTAAAGTTTTCAATAAACTTGTCGTTATTCAAGCTTAATCATACTTGAAAACATTGTTCTGCAATTTCCTTGACTGTAGTCATGTTGTGTGTCTGTGCCAAAAGAGTGTGTGTAAGGATCTTGGCTGCAAAGCAGTGCGACTGGCTTTCTCTTGCCAGACCAGCGCCATTTCCCTTCACTTTATTCCTATTCCCTGGTTGCAAGCTGTTTGTATTAGAGGATTATTACTCTATACTTTCCGGGAGTTTTAGAACATGATGATTTTATATTTACAGGGTTTGCCATGATTGGCTTAAAGGGAGTGACCGGTAATGTATGCTAGTTGAATTTAGAATAGAGTATTGTAGAGTATTTTCTTAGGGTTCATTTGATACCTATCAGACGTTTTTACGGTGCATATTTGTTTAGCAAGAGCGCAAAGCCAATCTTTGAAATCCTCATAGATTGTCCATTTTGGAGGAATGATTTTGAGAATACGTATTTTTAATTATTTAATAACTATCACAAAAAGATGTAACAAACTCTACAGTTAACTAATAAGTTGTTTAGGAACAGATTGAGAAAATAACTAATCTTATTCAGTTATTAGTTTCTGTAATGTCTCATAGTTCACAAACATTTTCTGTAGATTCCCTGCAATTTTTTATTGAAAAGACGACATTTGAAGAATTTGAAGAAATCACCGAACAAATTTGTAAAGAATAAGAAATTTAATATAATGATGAAGAGGAAATAATTGATTCTAACTTTGATTTGTTACATTTTTCGTCGTTGGTATTGAATAATTTTTTATAAACCGATTCTCAAAATCATCTCTCCGTAATGGACAGCGAAGAAGGATTTTAAAAAATGAATTTGCACTCTTGCTGAACAGATATGCATGTATGATTCTCAGTTCAACTACCATACATTCCCGGTCACTCCCTTTTATGCCTTATATTTTTTAATGTTTTTATATTTACCGGGTGTCCGATAATTGTCTTAATGTTTTTATATTTACAGGGTGTCCGATAATTGCCTTAATGTTTTTATATTTACAGGGTGTCCGATAATTGTTTTTATATTTACAGGGTTTGCTTTGATTGTCTAATGTTTTATATTTACAAGGTGTCCGATAATTGTCTTAATGTTTTTATATTTACAGGGTGTCCGATAATTGTCTTAATGTTTTTATATTTACAGGGTGTCCGATAATTGTCTTAATGTTTTTATATTTACAGGGTGTCCGATAATTGCCTTAATGTTTTTATATTTACAGGGTGTCCGATAATTGTCTAATGTTTTTATATTTACAGGGTGTGTGATGATTGCCTAATGACTCCAGAAACAGAATAGCTGACATCATGAAAAGTTTACAAGTTGTTCTTCTAACGATACATTATACATATTTCTCACAAATTTCCTATTTTACACAAATCTTGTTAAATCTTAAAAAATAGTTTCCTTTAAAAAAGAAATTAGGAAAAAATAGTTCATTCCATTTATTCAAAATCTTTCTGAATATATTTCCTCTTTAAACTATTGTATTTATTGAAAACATTTATTGATGCAGGATTTTTATTATGGTGAAAAGAATTGTACGGATTATTTTAGTTCGCATCCCTTCATTAATAGCTGCGTAAAGTGAATTATCTTAAAATAAATTTCAAAAAAACATTTCTTCACAATACTACATTATCATTTCAACTACCATACATTGCCGGTCACACTCCCCTTAAACCACCTATAATCTAATTGAGAATTCGCAAATCACTTTCACATTTCCCTTTTAGCGTTGCTAGCATTTTTTTTCTTCTCGCAAATTGCAATGTTGAAATGTGCAAAATATTATTATTATATATACAAAATTACAAACAAGGGCTGTTACAAGGATAATTAACATCCTACTGTGAGAACCAGAAAACTATGGAATAAGAAAACGACTTTATATTTTGACTTTAAATAGTCTAATGAACATAAGACACAGCCATTTTGCAGTGTAAACTTTAGACCCATTCAACTCAACAAATGATTTAATAAATTACTCTTAAAACTAATTTCCTTGCAAAAACAAACAAATCACCTAAGTATTGTCGTCCTTCCATTCTAGTTCCCTGGTTCTCACTCTTATAATAGATGCAAATCAAAGATTGATTAGAACTAGTGAAATAAATTGTCTGGTCGAATTGTCAGTGGCAGTCGTTTTCGTATATATCAATACAATAAAGACGATTTTCGATTACATTTTTGAAACAACTTAGGGTCGCCTTCATTGTATTGATATAGACGCCGACCACTGTACGTACAGGGTGTCCCAATAAACATGGGAATTCAGTGACGAATTCGTCTTTTTAAATAATTCCTTAATTTAGTAAGTGATACCAACTGAGAAAGCTGTAATCTGTAAAAGTTGCGTCTGCTATGTTCACATGTTTGTTTATGTTTTGACTGCGTACGGTTCAAACAGAGTAAACTTGTCCGTCTTCACTGTTCATCTTGCTGAGACATTATAGACACATCTTTAAAGTCTTTTACTCTTTTCATAAAATAAACTCTAGCAGACATAATAATATTATAAGGTATCACAATGCTAATTCATATCAAAGACGATATCCAATTCGTCACTGAATTCCTATGGTTTTTGGGACACCCTGTATGATATCCTAGTCTTCGTACAAAATCAAAGTTTTTTTGGAAGAAAGAAATTCTCAAAATTTCTTAATTCCCATTAGATTTGAGCTTTATTTGATTAATATAATAGTAGAATTAAAAATAGTTTTTATTTTCTGTGTAAACAAAACAACTGTATAGATGTTTCGACAAATAAAAGATAATTTATGGAATTATGTTTATTAAAATGTAAAGAAAACTTTCCAAAGTCCGAATTTAATGAATTTGAGTCGCGTCTTAAATCCGCCAAAAACCGGTTTCAATTGAGCACCGGCTTAAAGCTTGAAACCAACCTATGTTTGAGCCGCGGCTTACATTTAGGCCGCCGCTCACATTTTTAAAATTCGGCCTCAGGTTTGAAGACCCAAAGTTTAAAGTAAGTTTTCTGCATTGAAATGTGGTCTTATTTTAATGATTTGGTGAAGAAAGAAAGAAGTTTATAGTTGCTTAGAAACATAATTATCACAGGAGTCCATATAATTCCATCTGATCAATCCCAAATATTGATTGATTGATATTAGGGGCAGAAACAAACCATGTTGTTCTTGTAAACAATTGGAAGTATAATGTCAAGTTGTAGAAAAAATTCCATACTACAGAATGTTTACTGCAAGGGGGTGTTTATTTTTCTGTATATCATAGTTTATCTCTTATGGGAGAACCCTTCATTTACGTTGGCAACCACTGTTATCCGACTGTAATGGAATTTTAATATGATGCTTTATCGATACCACTAAAGGCCGATTGGACCAATACAATTGCACTAAGTTAGCTGTTCACAAACCGGTTTTAAGTTCACTTTAACATTAGCACATATAAACAGAATGGAAATTAATTATTTGAGATTAACTAATTAAATTTTTTTTAACATTTTAAAATACATTGGCATCGTTTTTTGAGATATTTGTGTCCGCAGCGCCGTCAACATATCATGACCTAGCCGCAGCATTCGGCACAGAAATTGTCGTAGCCTAATCTAACCTTTAAATATTAAGGTTGCATCATACAATTTTTTTTGTGTAAAAATACGTACAACTTGTTGGGGGTAATTTTTAAAAATTTGAAAAATTTGTTCAAAAGGACTATAGTCTTTTTGAACATTAGTCCAAACGAACGCACTATAAGTACATCTAATCGATCAATAGTCCTTCCCTCCATGTCCATACATACATGCTACTGGATTCTCGGCTGATTTGGGTCACATAAGAGACCAAGGTTGTTAATTAGATACTCTGGATGCGCTTTAATGTACGGAGAATGTCGTCTCCATAGCAATGGACACTGGACAACAATTTTCCTCGAATGACGTAACTGAGTTTTAGCGGAAGAAAATCCTTCCCCCGTCTCATCAGCAATGTTTTCACTTCAACATTCGACAATGAGCAGTTGTGTCAAATGAGGATTTTGAGTGTCCCTTACTATGAAGACGACATTTCCAGTACATCGTGAGTACCTGTTTAAACAACCTTGCATAGCTTATTGGATTCCTAGTTGATTTGGGTGATAAAGAAGTAGTTTATCTACATCTTGATTAGCAAACCCCCACTAATCATATTATCATACAGACAGGGAATACCAATTAACTAAATAACAATTGTATTCTTAAAGGGACTGTAAGCGTAAATTCAAGAGACCCCCCATGCAAAGATGGCAATGTCAGATTCACAACGGTACCCTTGAAAGCATTGTTTGATGAAATGAATTAGATAACATTGTTTTTGTTTCTTTTAACTGTTTTCTTGTGAGGGTTCGCTGTGAAAGTAAATGGCGCATTTCTTATTGATAAAAAGCAATATGAAGAAAATCATCAGAGTAAAATAAAAACTATTCGAGTAAAAAAATGGCGGTATCTTTCACATTTTGATGAGATTAAGATTTCAATGGTGCTGTTGCAAATCGGGCATTGCCATCTTTGCATGGAGGGTCACTTGAAATTACGCTTACAGTGCCTTTAATGAATTATTCACACGAGTTCACTGACCTTAAATTGTATTTTACAAGACGACTGTGGAATTGGAAGACGACAGTTACAACTTTAAATAGTCCACATAAAATATTGTCAGTTGATACAGAAGTTTTTTTAGGGCATTTCGCATTTTAGCAATCTTTTATGGTAAATCTACGCATTTTACAATCGATATTTGAAATCAAAAAGACGTCATGCATCTGCATCAAGAACTTTAATCTCAGGATCAATCATTGATCCTCGTCTTATACAGATCTACGAATTGATTTAATTCCTCTTTGGTAATTCACTTGGGGGAAAACTCATATCCCTGAAGTCTGCATAAGGGATCAAGCATTTGATCTCAAAATTAGAAGTGCCCATTTTAGATATTGAGATCAAGAGTTCAAGATTAACGATACACCAATCAACAGTTGAGAAAATAAAAAAATGATAAATTATCTGGTTACTAAATATTGTACCCTTGTGGTTCGTTCATGATGAAGTGTAACATTTATTCTAAAAAAAGCGATTTCTTTTCAACGGTAAAATTTTTGTAACTGCCTTAAATTCATTTAAATACTGATAAAGTGACTATAGCGCATTTAATGCTTCAGAAACAACAGAAAAATTATCAGAATGAAACACTTTTCAAACCAAAAAATCGACGCGATCTTCTGATTAAATTAAGATTTCATGGGTATCGTTGTGAATCGGGTATATTCGACCCCTTTAATACTGGTGAGAGGTCTAGTTGATGCAATTATGACATGAGTAGGGATGGGCAGGGCAATGTAGTCAGATTTGTTTTACCGAAACTTTTAATGTTTTCAGCCTTTTAAAAGATTTTACGACAATATGAGAAGATTAAGACATTCTAAACTTTATTCTGTAAAAATTTGCTTTTATCAAACATGCAATAATTACAGTGGTAAGCGATTATATCAATACAATGAAGACTACTTTTTTATCTAAGTTAACAAGCTTTTCTCTAATTACAAGTTTACAAGTAGTCAGCTTTTTAAACAGCTTGTTAAACAGCTTGATATAAATCAAAATTTAAATCAAAAGTCATCCTCATTGTATTGATATTATCGCCTTCCACTGTGAAGAAAATATAAGGCAAAAACGATCGTTTTATGCAATCTTTTTTGGGTTTTTAAAATGATAGTTTTTGGTTCGTTTTTGCCTTATATTTTCACCTAGGATAACAACTTCTTCAAAATACAATTTTTAATCGTTGGACCCATCTCATATTGTCGTAAAAGCTTTTAAAAGTCTAAAAATATTAAAAGTTTCTGTAAGACGCATCTAGCTATTGCCCATCACTAGACATGACCTTATTTTCATAGACTGGCATAACATATTTGCCTGCTAGGTATAACTAAGAATACGAGTATGTATATCTTTGAACCAAATCTTGAGCAAATGACAAGATTTCTCGATGAGAAAAATAATTTGAACCCAGTTCATAGATCTTGAATGATTAGATGGTGGGGGGCGGGGACTGGGTTGAACGGAATCTCATCTTTGCAATGAAAGTTAAATTGAAATTTCGCTGAGAGTTTATCCCTTTAAAGTAGGAGTTTATCATTATTATATTTTGTCAAACACTGAAAACTTTAAATGTCACTCGTGACGTAATTGACCTGTTCACAGCAAACTAGACACAAATAGTTATGTGCCTTCGGGTTTTTCGTTTTAGGGTCGATTTTGGTATATCTCTATATTACAAGACATTCGTATAGCCGGCCAAACGGCTGGACCGATTGGGCTGAAATTTTTTGTGGACACTCATGGGTGTCCGGTGGGGTGTTATAGCCTTAAAAAAATCGAACATTTTTTCTCAATTTTTTTTCTCATTTTTTCCTATTTTTAATTTTTTTAAATTTTTTTTTTACGGGCAACGCCGAACCCTTCAGCTAGTA